TCCCTTTTTGGGCTATAAAATGGCACCCAAATCCTCTCTTTCAACACACAATTCTTCAACATTTCAATACTCATTCATTGCATAAGCATTCCTATTTTTCTTAGCTATTTGAGAGCCAATTCTTGAAGAAATTGTCGTGTTCTTGAGTGTTTATTAGTTCACTCATATCTACTCTTTGTGAGAGTTTTATTCCTGAGTGTTTAAGTGTTTTCATACACTTTAAGGGAGTTTGTTCCCTTGTTGTAAACTCGAAGGAAGTTCCTTGTTCCTTCGTGAGAAGTCTTGGAGTGCGGTATCTCCGAGCAAAGGTGTTGAGGCTCGTGTGACTCGGGTTCTCAAGTTGTATCGGTTTGTTAAGCACCCTTAAGCTTAACGGAGTTAGTGTAGCTCGAGAGAGTCTCTCGGGGGGCTGGATTAGCCACACGTTGTGGTGAACCAGGATAAAATCCGGTGTGCTCCTTCTTTACGCTCTTTACTTTAACGCTCTCGTTTTAATTTCCTGCGATTTTGTTTTAAACGCTATTCACCCCCCCTCTAGCGTTGGGCCTTTATTCTAACATTTATATCTTAGACTTAGACGCCACTGCTTATAACGTAGATGTTAAGAGAAGCAAACCAAACAGTTTGAATCTCACATACCTTTGGCATTGTCGTTTGGGCCATATTAACGAGAAATGCATATCTAAGTTACGTCACTCTGGCGTACTTGATTCATTTGACCTCGAGTTTTATTATGTATGCCAATCTTGTTTACTCGGTAAAATGACATAGGCTCCATTCACCGGTCACGGTGAAAGGGCGAGTGATGTATTAGGCCTCATACACTCTGAGGTATGTGGCCCAATCAACACTGAAGCTAGAGGTGGTTTCTCATACTTCGTAACATTTACTGACGACCTCAGTCGATATGGATATGTGTATCTCATGAAACACAAATCGGAATGCTTTGACAAGTTCAAAGAATTCAGAAACAAAGTAGAGAAACAATTAGGCAAAAGTATCAAGATCCTCCGCTCGGATCGAGGAGGTGAGTACTTAAGCCTAGAGTTCGACGACTATCTAAAAGAGCACGGGATCCTATCCCAGCTGACTCCTCCCGGCACACCCCAATTAAATGGAGTGTCTGAAAGGAGAAACTCAACGCTGCTCGATATGGTTCGGAGTATGATGAATCTAACAACATTACCAGAGTCCTTTTAGGGCAATGCATTATTAACAGTAGCACACACACTCAATCGCGTACCATCTAAAGCTGTTGAGAGCACACCATACGAACTATGGCGTGGGACGAAACCAAATTTGTCATACTTGAGGATTTGGGGTTGTGATGTTTACGTTAGACGCCTCATGACGTGTGGTAAGCTTGATTCCAAATCTGACACGTGTAAATTTGTGGGATACCCCAAGGAAACGAAAGGGTATGAGTTCTATCATCCGGCCGATAACAAAATCTTTGTTGCTCGGAACGGAACCTTCCTTGAGAAGGAGTTTCTCTCTGCTATTTCTAGTGAGAGAAAGGTAGACCTCGAAGAAATTCGAGAACCACAAGAAGAGATCTGAATAGCAGTGGAACCCGAGCGTCAAGATTTAGAATCTCGACCGACTCAGGTTTTACCACGTAGGTCAGACCGGATGCGTAATCCTCCGGTTAGATACGGCTTCCTTGTATCTGATGAAGGTGACGTCTTGCTGGTAGACCAAGGCAAACCTGAGACCTACCTCGAGGCAATCACGTGCCCCAAATTCAAAGAATGGCTTAATGCCATGAAATCCAAAATGGAATCTATGTACACAAACCAAGTCTGGACCTTGGTTGATGCGCCCGAAGGGGTAAAAACCATAGGGTGCAAGTGGATTTTCAAAAAAAAAACAGACGTAGACGGGAAGGTTCATACCTTCAAAGCTAGATTGGTAGCAAAAGGTTATAGACAAATCCACGGAATTGACTATGACGGAACCTTTTCTCCCGTTGTGATGCCGAAGTCCATTCGGATAATGCTTGCGATTGCAGCGTTCTACGATTACGAGATTTGGCAGATGGACGTCAAGACGGCTTTCCTTAATGGGAACCTCAAAGAGGATGTCTATATGACACAGCCTGACGGTTTTACAATTGCTGGTGAATCTGCCAAAGTCTGTAAGCTGCAACGGTCAATCTACGGATTGAAACAAGCATCTCGGAGTTGGTATATACGCTTTGATGAAACCATCACTAGTTTTGGTTTTGAGAAGAATTCTGACGAGTCTTGTGTTTACAAGAAGGTCAGTGGGAGTGTGATAGTATTCCTAATCCTATATGTCGATGACATATTGTTAATGGGTAACGATGTTCCTGCTCTCACATCTTTAAAGACTTGGTTGAGCGAGAACTTTGCCATGAAGGACTTGGGGAATGCTAGTTATGCCCTTGGCATAAGAATCTACCGTGATAGGCTAAGAAAGTTGATAGGTCTATGTCAAAGTACATATATAAATAGGGTCCTTGATCGATTTAGCATGTCTAACTCGAAAAAGGGATCCATACCTATGTTACCTGGCACGGCTCTTTTCCAAGAGCCAGAGTCCTTCTACTCCCGAGTAGAAGGAACTCATGATGAAGGTCCCATATGCTTCTGCAATTGGTTCCATCATGTATGTCATGATATGTACTAGACTTGATGTCTCATTCGCTTTAAGCGTGACCAGCAGATACTAGGGGAATCCAGGTGAAGCACACTTGACAGCGGTCAAGAACATCCTAAAGTATCTTCGGAATACTAAGGATGCATTCCTGGTATATGGAGGTGGGGAAGAGCTAAAAGTGATCGGTTACACTGATGCGAGCTTCCAAACCGATCGAGATGATTAAAAGTCACAAGCAGGGCATGTGTTTTCCCTGAATGGCGGAGCTTTTAGCTGGAAGAGTTCTAAACAGGACACAACCGCCGATTCAACTATACAGAGGCTGAGTACATGGCTGCTGCTGAAGCAGCAAAGGAAGGTGTTTGGATAAAGAAGTTCATCTCTGAACTTGGAGTGGTTCCTAGCATTAATGACCCAATCCCGTAGTTTTGCGACAACACTGGGGCCATTGCGCAAGCAAAGGAACCACGATCTCACCAAAAGACCAACACATTGTACGACGTTATCACATCATACGAGAAATTGTAGATAGAGGTGATGTGGAGATTTGCAAAGTAGGAACAGACGACAACATAGCCGATCCCCTAACCAAGCCCATGGGAAAGCTAAAGCATGAGGGTCACACTAGGTCAATGGGCATTCGACCGATGCCATAGTAAAAGTGGGAGATTGTTGGAGTTGGTGCCCTTATGGCCAACTGCTGTTGTAATATCTTAGAGATTTTCTATCATGTAAAGGCATATGTAATAAGTTTACAAACATCTCATGCTAATGTAAACTCTTAATTGCATTCCTAGAATTATATTATAAGATGTTTATCAGAATGAGTCTTCTGATGTTGAGACTAACATCTTGTCACTTAGTATGATTCTAAACGGTCTATAGTCGAAGCATTAACGAGAGTGAGATATCGTCAGTGCGCGTGAGACTAGTGAGAGTTAGATGTTTGACCTAGTCTCTTGGTCAATGACGGAGTGTTCACATCTACTCTCAGGGAGATATTATCGTTAATAATAGGATGCCAGACCCACCTTAAGGACATTGCCTAGACTTTTAGTCTATGCTCTAAGTGTCCTTAATGCGACTATTGGTATAACGATCCTTAGACTTGAAGTATTACGTTCTTCGAATGCGTGAACCCGCATGCTTTGATTCATTGTCCAAAGCCGTATGAAATAAGGATGGTACACAGGCTTTGTATTGGGCATGCCGCTGCACGTATTCGAAGACGTAGATTACGTACAAAGAATTTGTCACTGCTACTCAAGCAGAATAATGTCTTGTAGGGGCCCACTAATAAGTATGACTGAGGAAATGCATGGCCATGTTGAGATGAGTTTAGACATCTGTTCTCATCCGGAATCAGTAAATAACTTAATGGCTACAAGTCGGCTATTTTATATATCCCTTGCACTAAGTTAAGACATTGGGACAAAAGGATCTACGTTATACAAAGTCTTAGTCGTAGAAAGGTTTTGACGGAGCAAACGTCTGAACTTATAATCTGGGGGGAATAATGTGTTGCTAGATACCGCTTATTACTTATAGTATTGGTGTAGAGTCAATACTATGGCCAGTTTTACAATGTATATATATTATACATTGTACACAACACTCACATTTACATCAAACATGTAAAATGTACGTGTGTACATAGTCAAGCCGTGTACATATATGTATATATATTACATTATACTCCCTCCGTTCCACAAAATCCTTCCGGTTTTGACTTTGGGGAAAAATAAGGAAAATGTAATTTTGGTTGACTTTCCAATTTTGCCCCTGATGTGATGGGAAAAAGTAAGATGTGATAGTTTGGTTATTAGTGATAAAGTATGATGTGATAGGTAGGGTATGAAAAAGTAGGGGTAAAAGTGGTTTTTTAATAGAAAGTGGAAGTGTTTTGTGGAAAGCAAAAAAAACGAAAGAGGAAGGGTTTAGTGGAACGAAGGAAGTATATTATATTGTGTACATTTTATTTTGGAGTGTCATTTTAATTATGAAAATAATTATTTTGACAAAAACTATTTTAAAGTATATTTTATATACTTGTTTTAAAATGTTTTGAGTATTTTATTTTATATCATAAAGATTATCGATGTCAAATAAAATACACTTTAAACATTTGAGAGGAGAAGAATTAAATTCTTCCCCCTTTCTTTTCGTACATAACCTTGTGTGTGTGGGGACTTTGTCTCCCACTACACCTCATAACATTTGTACTTTTGGAACCTAGCTTTTGAAATGGGTTTTATGCTTATTCCTTTTAATGATTATAAAATAATTTCACCTCTCCATTTTTTGGGAGAAGCCATTTTCGGCCAAGTGAGGAGCAAGAGAGAGAATCTTATTTTGGGTTCCAAATTTACTATTTTGGGTGTAGAAAATTGATATAATATTTTCTTTAAAATATTATTGATATATTTTCTAGTATTTAATATACAAGATTAATATTTTCCCAAAATAATCTTTATATATTAATATACTATAACACTTGCTAGCACAAGTGTTAGGATAGACTCCGGAGATTGTTTGTGTGTAAAAGTTGGAGGTCGGACACTTGAACGGCTACGCTTGCTCCTTCAACGCCTTTGCTCGATTTTACGTTCATACCGCTTTACCGAGAAGGTATAAGTTTCTATCTCTAGCTATAGTTTTAGTACGTGTTCTTGGGATAGTAATCACTATTGGGAGATTAATTTTTTGTATTTCTGCTGCCCTCTCAACCGTGGTTACTTTTCATATAGTGCCATATCACCCATATGAAATGGAAGAAATGCAACTAACTGAACAAATTAATAACCATACATAACAAACTAACTAAATATGTTTAAGCTACTCCAACATATACCATAATTTAAATCAATTAAATTGAAAATAAATTCATCTTTTAATTCATACATTCGTGTGTAATGAAAAGAGACTTGATCGGTATATAGTAATGTTTTTCATGATGTTACAAAAACAAAAATTGACACAATATATTGAGGTAAATACAAGGATGCGAAGTACAATGAATCTTCTCCTCAAAATTTGGGTTTTTATCTTTTTTGGAAGTTCAACACCTTGATTGCGTATGCAAAGGTGATAGCAAACATGGTCGGGAATGCAATCATCACAGCAGCAATAACTCCGAGGAAACTATGTTTGAAGCCAAAGTTAGAATCCAAGAAATCCTTGACGGATGTGTTCAATTCAGGCATTTTATCATTGAGATCTCCGTATTGGGATGCAATTAATCCATACAAAGTCCATGAGACTGGGCATGCCCAGAAGTACCATCTCCACCAAACAGGCATCCTCTGTTAAGCATACACATAAAGGTCATATATCAGCTTCGTTCTAAATGAGTTGCTAATAGGCGGGGATGAATAATTATGATGACCTGAATGTTGTGAAAGAAAAAAAAAATACAGTTGTTTTGAATGTGTGGACTTACAGGTCTTGGAATCATGAATCCTGAGAAGAGGTTCCAAACTCCATAGAAGAAAGCGGAGACAATGGATGCCACATTTTGGTTGGGAGTAATGGCCACTGACATCATTCCGTAATAGGTGAAGTATAGCAACGTGAAGAACATCATGAACAAGTACCAGAAGAATTTCCCAGCATTCCATTCAAATCCAATCATTGCATAAACTACCAAGCCGTATACGACAGACTGCATCAATACATAGGGAATTTCAATTGCGACCTGCAAAATCAATTTCCCATGGATCATCATTAGACTTTTTTCAATTTCATAATAATCTAAAATAAAAAATGTACTCTGTATATGTATATAGTTATATTGTCACTTAGTACTTGTGCCAAGGCATATGGAAAGGCAGAAAACATCCCCGCAGCTTTTTCTCTGTAAAAGACAGTACGCTCAACTGATACCACAGGTTGAACCGATGCAGAGTTTTGCACACCAAGAAACAAAACCGCAGAATACATGGATCCCATGGAGTTCATAAGATCTTGTCTCTTTTCACTACACTCAACCAATAAAGTAAGGGTTTCTCATAATATATACTCCGTAAAAATAATAATAATAATAATAATAATAATAATAATAATAATAATAATAATAATAATAATAATAGCTAGGAAAACCCTAAATGTGAATGTGAGGATAAGACCTTTTCATTTGAACTTACGTTTTGCCACCAAGCTTCCAAAAAATTGTTCCAAAGGTGAGAGCAATGATGGTCGTGAAGAGGAATCTAACTGCAGTGTAAGATGTGTTTCGCCAGTATGACAAGTGTTGCTTCCAAAGACAAGCCATGCATTGACTAAAGAAGCTTTGAGAGAATTGAGTAGGGAAGTACAAGTCCTTGCTACCAGGGCGAGGCATACTTAGCTCTGAAATCAATGCTTTGTTCCGTCGGAATAAGTCAGAGTTCTTGTAAAGCTCGGCAAAATCAACATTGAGTGCGAGTTCTTGAGCTGAAGTAGTCACTTCTAGCATCCAAGTTGCCGGATTGTACCCATTCTTTATTTTGGGAACTCCATCCATTGACTACATTACATTTAAGAACATATAAAGAATTATACGTACTCTGCATTCTAATACACTACAAAGAACTAGCTAGGTTTTTCATATGATGAAAAACATAAGTGATATACCTCAAAGTATTTGATCAAATGTATAGAATGGTGTCCTAATGGTCCAACATAGATCTCCTGTCCCCCTCGTTTCATTAAGAACAACTGTACGTAGTACTACATGTTAGTAGTTTTATTAAGCATATATAAATTAAGGCATTGCATTCTCTTTTGTTGTTGTTGTTGAAATTACACAATAATGATCTCATTACCTCGTCAAAAGCTTCAAAAATGTCAATGCTAGGTTGATGGATGGTGCAAACGACAGTTCTTCCTGTGTCAACCGTGTTCCTAACTGTTCTCATAACAATGGCAGCCGCCCTAGCATCGAGCCCGGAAGTTGGCTCATCCATGAAGATAATGGAAGGATTTGCTACTAACTCAACTGCAATTGTGAGCCTTTTGCGCTGCTCGGTTGAGAGGCCATTAACTCCTGGCAGTCCAACCATAGCTGATTTCAATGGGCCTAGCTCAACTAACTCCATTACTTCATCAACAAACATCTACAAATATGCAAGATTGATAATTAATTAATTATTCTAAGTAGCTAGCTATATCGCATTTATTTTTATTATTATTATTATTATTATTATTATTATTATTATTATTATTATTATTCATAACACATGTTTAAGAAAATAGTATCCACCATTCTAGTCTTGGAATCAACCCCATCAGGCAAACGTAGCCAAGCGGAGTACACTAGTGATTCATACACGGTGACGAAAGGCGAGTGGATGTCATTCTGCTCACAATATCCCGAAATTCGGGCAAATGTCTCTTGTTTCTTTTCATAACCAGAAATTTTGATGTCACCTTCTATATACCCACCAGTTTTTCTTCCTGCCAAAACATCCATCAAGGTTGTTTTTCCAGCACCACTAACACCCATCAAAGCTGTGAGAACACCGGGCCTAAAGGCTCCACTTACACCCTTCAATAGCACCAATTTATTCTCAGAAGTACCCTGATCTTTCATTTCCTAGATTTCATTTTAAAACACAAGCAATAACCTTGAGAATATTCTTTTTAAAATGGTGTGTTTGGGACTCAAATTTGGATTTTAAATCCATATTGGATCCAAATTACTAGTATGGAAACTCAA